ACATAAGATACATGGAAATTGGCATGATTCATTTTTATAGCATTCAGCCCGAACACAGGAGAGAGTTAGAGAGGGGTTAGAGATGCACTACAGAGAGACAGGGGGGTTAGGGACATGACAGAGAGGGGGGGTTAGGGATGGGAGGCTGAGAGACAGGGGCTAGATATGTGACACTGTGAAACAGGGGGGGTTAGGGACAAAAGACTGAGACAAGGGGTTGGGGACACGACACTGAGAGACTGGGGGGTTAGAGACAGGAAACTGAAGGACCGGGGGGTTAGAGACAGGAAACTGAAGGACCGGGGGGTTAGAGACAAAAGTCTGTGAGAGAGGGGGGTTAGGGACACGACACAGAGACTGGGGGGGTTAGGGATATGGCCCCCGCGCCTACCGGCATGAAAACGCCCCCGCCTCCCGGCATGGAAACAGCCCCCCACACCTGCCATGATGCTTTGCAGCTGACTGCCTTTCTAGACCAGCTGAGTAGTTCTGCTGTGATGACAGGTGGGGGCGCTGTGTTTGTGCCTGGGGGGGCTTCCCACTGCAGCCCAGGCATGACGCCTGATAAACATGGAGCACAGTTTTTGGGTGCCACCAATCTGGGCCAGCAAAGAAAGGGTTAGTCAGCATGGCTGGAGTTAATCTGCGCCTGCTTTTGATCTGGTGGGGGGGGGCACTTGTCAGTAGTGAGCGATGCTAGTTGCCCAGACGTGGGGGGGGGGCAGCAGTTGTTTCTGCTCTCTCGAATCAGTCTAATGTCATCAATATGGGGGGGTAGGGAGTAAGCCAGAGCAGCAGCCATGACGGCCTCACGGTGCCCCCCCCCCCCCAAAGCCGTCAGGCAGCAAGGAGAAACGCGACGATAAAAACGGGGGCTCATCCTCATGCAGCAGCCAGCTTGACCTAAACGGACAGACTTACCTAAGCCAGGCCCCAGGGTGCGAGGGCGGGGGGGTGAATCCTTTTGGGGGGCCCCGTTCCCTTCCTTTAATTCCCCCCCACCTCAGCCCACTCTGGCAACAGAAGAAAGGGGGTTTTGAGAGCTCCAGGGTCCGGGGGGGCTGCCAAGCGGGCCCAGTGCCATCCAAGTAATTCTCCAGTGCCCCCCCCCCCCCACGTCTGGGCAACTAGCATCGCTCACTACTGACAAGTGTCCCCCCCCACCAGATCAAAAGCAGGCGCAGATTAACTC